GTTTCGTTTCAGGTTCGAAATGGTGAAACCAGCTTTCGTCACCTGTCACAATACAGAGCAAAAAAATCATCGCCTTCGTGTCGATATCTCTGCAGCAGTTCTGAGGTGATGGCTTTGTGGTCTTCGGTCAATAACCGCGGGACCCAACGAGCACAAACTTTCCTATAGCCCAAGCTTTCAGTCATCTCCTGTATTGCACTTTACTCTATTCCAAGTTCTCGGGCTATTGTGTCCAAAGTAACACGCCTGTCATCTTGAATGATCTCATCCACTCTTTCCTTGTTGCGTTCAGTTGAGGCTGTTCGAGGACGACCGCTCCGAGACTCATCTTCGATGCTGGTGTTGCCATCTTTAAAATGTTTCACCCATCTTCGAACACTGCTCGCACCCATGCACACACTTCCATAAGCATGCTGAAGTCTCTGGTGAATTTCTGCAGCAGGGATTTCCTCTTTCACAAGAAATTCGATGACAGCACGCTGGCGAAACGACATATGGTTGTCGGCCATTTTGTTAGGAGTGATACTGGTCACGTGATGCAAGCTATTGACGTCACTAGACATTCAAGGTTAACACAACAGCTGGTTCCACCTACCACCGTACTCTCTTTCGTCTGCTGTTCCCAGGTTGCATGCAAAAAGTTGCTCATGACTTTCGGTACGACCTACGTATCTCAAGGGACAGCGAAATGGAAGCCTGGCTATTGGAAAGAAACATGCCATTTTGCAACACGGCGAAAGCTCAATTGTACGATATAATCAAATTAAATACGCCAAGCACAAATTTCATGTGTGATGAGATTTTATCATACTGAGCTGAGACTTCCGCAGTACCATCCCGATTCAAACTCCATTGATCTCATTTAGACAGATTCAAAACAACGAAAAGCAAAGGAAGTCGAGGAGCTGCGTCGCCAGAGATTCGTAGAAACTGGGCTAAAAAAAATGGGAGAATATACGAGTATGTCAGCGTGTAGAAGAACTGCAAATAAATTCCGTGATTTTAGTCCGCAAGTGAACTATACCGACAGAGCGACCGCCACTTGTCGGCGAAGTTGGTGCCAGCTTTAGCGGATAGTGTGTGTCGCGCGGTCAGCGCAACGAATTCCCAAGGCCATTAATTTCCGTTTTCTAGACCGGAGCCGCTATTTCCTTGAAATAGCTCCTCAATTATTCTCACGAGGCTGAGTTGACCCCGTTTCATGCACACTACTTCTCAGAAAATCTGGTAGCGCCGGGAATCGAACCTGGACTTCTGGATCTGTAGCCAGGAACTCTGACCACTAGACCACCTATAACAACTTTATTAAGGGTATGAGGACATAATCGAAGACATAACGGAACGTAATATAATTTAAGATAATTAAGTGGATACCCGCGACAGCAGTGATGAATAAAGTTACATGTCAGAAAGCGAAGGTCTGTCAGGAGTGGAAGAACTGGAATAGGACTAAAGACAGTAGCGAAGAAGATAAAATTAGCTAATATTTCCTGCTGTGTTAATTTTCTTGCGATGTGCAGCGATATGAAATCGATTCTTCTGTGTTATATACCAAGGTAATGTTTCATTTTACTTGGAATGTCCTGTACATGGCCTGCTGCCATTCCTTCCAGCAAACATTTAGTGCCTTGCTCCGACGTTCGAAATCATACAGTTCACAGGCCGAAAACGACGCGACCTATAACCCTCACTCCACGAAGCCGTACGATGGGCTGGGGATGAAGCTTCAAACATTCTTAACTTAGGCACTGGATGGAAGTGACCTGCAGCTTTATGCTGTCACTTTACAGTCTATGAAAATTCAATTTGTAGCATGCGGTAGCGTAGATGGTTGAGGCACTATGCTACAAGCTGGTAGGTCGCGGGATCGAACCCCGAGGTGGTTCCCCCCCCCCCAATTTACCTAATCCTTCCAGCCGCACTATGGCCCTGGGGTCGACTCAGCCTCTAACAGAAATGTGTACCAGAAATATTCGTGGGGAGTTAAGGGCGGCCGACGCGTAAGGCTGACAACCTTGCCGCCATTTGTGAGCCGATTGTCTAGAAAATGTGGGAACCTCAACGTCTCACAACCCTATGGGCCTGTTACAGGGATACCTCTACTTACCCATGATACTGTATGAGCCCCTGAGCTGGTCTGTAGAAAGATTCCTAGCAATGCAGGCCCCCTGGTCAAAAACCTTCCCTCAATCCTGGAGGCGCCTCTGGATAGCCGACTGTACGGGACTTTCGAACAACGGGCCTCCCAACTACAAAACCGGTATGTTAAACACGGCCATACGATGCTCATTATCATATGCATTTTCCACTCACAATGGTTGTTTTTGGATCCTACTTGTATTTGTTTTGAAAGTGCTGAGCTGAAATTGCCTGCTTGGGTCTTCTCCATAACTCTTGCGAAAACCTGTCACCAGTTGTTTACTGGAAACCGGTGACAAATCTCTGGCATTCAATCACCTGGTAAAAAGCACGGTTGAAGAAGGGCCTAACCCATAATGCCTTGAGCTTTATTTGAAAACAAATCAGTTGAACTCCGACACATGTGGGACACAGCTGTGGGGTAGACATAGGGTAAACATGCACTCTCACATCTTTTCTTTCTGTATGGGAATACTAAGGGAGCCTATTTCTGTGTTGTATCCAGGTTAGACTTGGACTGCATGTCTAATTGCAAGTTTCCTTTGCGTGACTACTCCACGGATCCAGACGAAATTTAGCAACAGATGGTTCTAGGATTAAACTGATTATCAGGGTTGTGGCACCGTGTAGTCTTGCAGGCGGATACCGACGTTTCTGAGGAACATCCTGCTTCCATCTTACGAATTTTGTATCAATTGAGGCCTGTTCTTCCGATACATCGGCATCCACAAACAATCTGAACAATCGTAAAAACCTCAAAACTTATTATTTAACGTGGTCCGCACTGGCCAAGTAGCCTACTTCTACTTCACATGAAATTAAAATGTAACAATCAAATCCAGCGGCTCATCATATAAAAAATCAGGCGGACTAACAAAACAAAGTTCCTTATGGTTTGGGAACTTCCTCAGCACGTGTCCAGTATACAGCATTCTAACATTTTACTGCTACCTACACTCCCTCCATACACATCAAGTTACGAGTATATTCTGAGAGATATCTTGCCCTTTTTACTCAAACTCGCAATTACGCCGACTTTTACAGAACTTGGTAAACTAACGACTGCCAGTGACATATAACGGTGTATGTACAGAGTAACAAATATAATCACTTGGTACTGTAATGAGATTAAATTTTCAACTATTACAGCATGTCCATCTGAACGTTATGCTTTTATTCCTGATGGGGGGATGATACAAACATTGAGAAATATTATACTACTCATTATAGCACTCAGGATTATCAGAATCTCTTCTATCATTGGTTCAGTTATGGAGGTTAGTTCCTTCTAAACAGATCCAACAAACTAGGTGCTTCCCACCCATGCATCCAAGGACGTAAACAGATTCAGTTTCCCAAATGCTGTGTTCCTTAATATCGGATGATTAGTTATTTAGAGAGGGTGGGTTTGCCAATGCACCGCGACCAGTTTGATCTGTTGTGCTTCCCTCTATGATATTCTACCAGTCTTTATACCCTACCGATAAATGGTGCGTACCATCAGTCCCGCCGAGCAAGCGAGTTCGGCCACTTGCTTAGCGGTATCTATAATGCTTCCCCCATCTCTCAGAGGCCTTAGAGNGCTATTGTTGGGCGGGAAACGTCCTGGAATTTGGCTCAGTGATCCCCTTTGGGGATATGAGGTTCTTTTACGTGCCGTAAAGTTACGACACGGGACACACAGCTTAAAGTCCCTCCCGGAGGACTTGTTCCCTGAATTTTTCCGCCCTTAAAAATTCGACGACATCCGCCGGGTATTTGAACCCGCGTACCACGAGTCATGAGGTGGGAACGTTACCTCTAGACTACGGAGGCCGCAATATCGGATGACATACAAGTCCAAAAACTCAGTAATTCCTAAATGTTATATACCATAGCTAGAACAATTCGGAATCCACTCATTATAAATCCGTCACATCTAACATCCCAGAAAACTAAAAGCTTCAGAATATATAGAACATCAGTATCACTTATACACAGAGATTTAATGCCGAATGCACGCACGCACACTAAACATCCGTGCCCTGAGTGGGATTCGAACCCGTGATCCTGGCTTCCAAACGAGCGAAGACAGTGCCTTAGACCGCTCGGCTACCGTGACCGGTGGCCACTGTGTATACTTCGTCTAAAACATCTCTGAGGATACATCATACTTTAAGCTGGCAACCTTGCAGAAGACACATTCTACACATTTAGTAAGATCTCTGGTACAGTGACTTTGGTTCCCACCGTACAATTACTTGAAAATGATGATGTGACAATCTATCTGATAACGATGCAACTTCAAGGATCTTTTGAAATAAGATATACCTTTGGTACCTACCTGCTGATTGCATTATAAAAACATATTCTTCCAAAATCATGAAGCACAAGCATGTGAATAACTGGGCCATAAAATTCAAAAATATGTTTTTATATCTAATATATCATAATGTTAGTAAACATTGTTAAGAAACAGCTAAAGAACTTGCTTCTGACAAATTTGAGAACACACCAACTCAGCTGATTTCAGTGTGAGCAATGTGGACGAACACACTCTTCTAAAAGGGTAGGTATATTAACACTCACCGGGGTAGCAGTAAGTCAGAGCATAATAAAGCTATCAGACAGCATTGCTAGACTCACACTACTTGAAAATCATCCACTCAATGTCTGCTACAATACATGCATATTACATATACTCTTAATCATAAATTAATACTAATAATTCTGAGCCAGTATTAACATATATTATGGGGACTGAAAGGACACTCTTGCAGGACACATAAAGACCAACTCGCAGGATGCACACAGCTCACCAGTCGCTACTAGGTCAGCCCTGTGATAAACTATGAAAAAGAAATTCAGATCACTACACTCACCTCAACAACCTCCTCCTTGGTGACGTCACCATTCTTGTCCTCACGTGGTGGCTTGCTCTTGTCTTTCCTGGAGAAACTGATGGACCGGAAGGACCATTTCTTCTTCACTTTTTCTTTCTTCTCTTTCTTTGTCTTGGTATCCTCCTTTTCTTTCTCTTCTGTTATCGTACTCTCTGCTTCTGGTGTCTGGGCTGCAGTCTCGATCTCTCCATCCACGATCTGCTCGGACCCATTCTGGATCACTTCCTCCTGCAAGACAAAGTCAGTACTCATTTCTCACTGCAGCCTCCTGTTTACTGCAAGACAGGATCAGTCACCAACCACTTCCGGCCGCCAGGGACACTAATGACTCACCAGGCATCACTACGTCCTTAAGTCACAAATCGTCATTAATCTCTTCCAACTGACTCATGATTAATCGAGAATCATTCCCATTAAGTCACAAGTCGTGAGTAATCCCTTGGAAATCATTCCAAGGCTCCGGTAAGACTGGTGCCATCATAATCACTTCCTGCAGAAGGAGACACATCATATCCACGCCATACGGTACAAGCTACTAACACTATACCTTGTGAGCCGGGATAGCTCAGTCGGTATAGCGACTAGGCTACAGGCTGGATGGCCGAGGAGTCGGGATTCGATTCTCGGTGAAGGCAAGAGACTTCTTTCTCTCCTCCACAACGTCCAGACCGGCTCTGGGGTCAACCCAGCCTCCCTTACAATGGGTCCTGCGACTGTTTACCCCGGGGTAAAGAGGCAGAGGCGTGATGATCACTCACCTCCATCTAGTGCCGAGGTTAAAAATTGTGGAGCTATGCTTCGCTCGCCCAAACGTTTTCAAGGCGTGGTGCTTAATTAGTTAAGTATACGGATAACTGGAACCGTAGTTAAATAAATGACAAATAAATGTTCATCTCTTTTTTTGGACGAATGGATCTATAAGCCTATTTGCGGCACGCTTGATCGAGCAGGGCATCCCCACTCCAATACGGCACAAGTCCTCGGCAATAAAGTGACAAATACCATAATTTCCGCCTGTGAGGCAGGGTTACTTAGTAATCGTCTCTCCTGTGAGAGACAGAGACACGATGCACCAGTCACAGTTTATGTATGTGTCGTGAGCAATGGCGCGACACTTCTGCCTATCAGATTCACGACTCACCTAGCGTCACTTGCTCCCCTAAGAGAGACATCAATTCCACTTTCTTGTCGGCAAGACTAGCTATTTACTGAACATTATGTAGATTTGTAAAGAGACAGGACCACTCGCTTCGTGCCCTTCTCGAGTCCTGTCGACTCATTTCATACACATTCTCACACGAACAGATATGTTACATACAAATGCAGTAACTAATTCATTAACTAAATCAACTATCCAATTAATCATCAATTTCCCTCACGACTCACTCACTGACTACACTAATTAGCCCAGTGAGACTGCCCTAGTGACAAACCGAAGGACTGGGCGATTTAATTCATTCATTAATGACGCTACAGCCCTTTCTTCGGGCCTGGCCTCTTCTTCAATTTTGCGATCTTTTTTTTTTATACAGACGGTAGCACTACTTGGACGAGTGAGCAGCCCGTCGCAAGGCCGCTACCTATACACAGGACAACACAAACACAGAATAAACGCACACAGACATCCTGCCTTGAGTGGGATTCGAACCCACGATCTCAGCGTTCGAGCTAGCGAAGACAGTTCGTGCCTTAGACCGCGCGGCTACTGTGATGGGCGAATTAATTACTAACAAAACTACTTGTCAATAAAAGCCAATGATTCAATAAAGCTATTGCTGGACACGATCCCGAGACAGTCCACATCTCATATTCCTCCATCCACATGACCGACTTCTCACCTGAATATCTGTGGACGACAGTGTTGGGGCGCCGTTTGCCGCTGGCTTGGCGTCGCCTTCGCCCTCCTCGATATGCCCCAGGCGCCCGTCAAGGGGCTGCTGCTGCTCCTCTGTTCCCTCCTTCTTCGGGGTCGTCGTGATGTCCACAGAGCGCTTACTCTGACGGCCTCCCATTGTGCTCACTCACTGAAAGAAGTGACGACACTGGACTAAGAGATAGCGTACATGCGAGACGCATCGCTGCGTCATCCTTACGTCGTTAATCGCAGTGGGAATTCTTTGCTAAAAATCAGTTGTACTAAACGTGCGTTTAGGACCCAAGGTGAGAGGAAATAGGTAATCAGATCTGTAAGAATATTTCTGGAGTACCGGCTCAAATAAATCGAACTAGTTGGCAATACACCCTCTGGGAATCATGTTCATGTGCGAACTATTTATTTCGGATAATAGCGAACCAAAACTTCCTGAATAAGGCCCCACTGATTCTGCTTCGTGAATTGTTACGTTTTCGACGCTTCATTAACTGCACGCCTTACAGTGTAGATTAGGCATACACAGAGGAGGAAGTTTATGAGTTCAATGTCAAATGACTGGGTTATGATAAATTAACGAGGATTCGGAAGAAAGACGCTGTGGCCTAATTTGTGTTTCTAACACTTTGATATAAGGAATGGAGGAAATATCAGTATCCAGGCGGAGATCTGGGCACCTAACTCTCCGGTGACTATGGTGAATATTCGAATTTAGGCACAATGTGGTAATGGATCTAAAACCAAGCGGTGTTTTCCTTCCCTGATCATAACTCAACAAATCGTGAAGTCAGCAGCACAGCCAGAAATCATGGCAAATGGAGGGGAAATCTCTTCGAAGTTTCCATCTGCAGGCCTACAGATTACGAAGTCACGTCGGACCCCATTATTCTGGGTCACCGGGCCCATCACGTCTACGTGAAACTACGAACAAGGTTCTTACACACTGGCCGTGTATCCCATACGGTCCATTGGAGTCTCATTCGCTTCCTCCATCTGTTGCGCCCAATTCCTCAAATATTCATAATTTTTGTTACGATCTCTGTCTTCCACCTTGCTCCCGGAAGCAGTCATGAGAAGTATGCGGAAGGAGCAATAGCTGCGTGCCATCAGTGGGTCCTGCAACAGATATAGCAAGGGCAGCCTTGGCTAGTCCCGTTACTTTGGCGGGCACTGGACGTACGTCCATGTAAAACGCACTGCCATTCGTAAGGCCTACGTGACGTGCCAGTCAGTTTAATTATTTCCAGTAATTAATTCGCAACGAAATATATGAAACCACTTGCTCTCTCGCTCTGAGGGAAGAATACAGATTGCGGGTGCTTCGAGAACAATGTAATGCGGAAAATATTTCGCTCTAAGACGGGTGTCATAACAGGAGCTAAGTTTTCCGTTGAATAGGGTAACTTTATATCGGTTTTCCCGTCTAAACTCTCAGATCCAGAAACATTTTCTGATAAATGTACTAACATGTCGCATGTTTGTCGTCTGCTGTATTTGAGTGGCTGACCGCAGGGTTTGAGGGACGGTACTGAAAATTCGTGTTCCTTAAAGAGAGAATATCCTGATCACCTCAGTAACTTTACACAGACTCTGCAATGGTCTTGTGTGTGAAGAGAGCGTCAGACTGCTGGCTGGAGATAAACCTGTTTTAAAACTTCAGACAACTGCACAGGAGTCAACACTCTACTTGATACTAAATTCAATCATTACTGCTTCCTGATACCGAAGTCAAGTAATGTGTCACTATGTAAAACTTCAAACAAATCCAGAAGCTACGGAGCCAATAATACAGGAAAGTGACGCACTCAAATCTGAGTGTACCTCACGAAACCAGGCTACGGACAAGACCTTAAACGAGGAAATGTGGGCTCTAGTTCGTCCGAATGCGTTCTTTGTACACGTATAAACTGCATGAAATGAATGTATAATACGGAAATTATCTGCCCATATGTCAATATTTTATTCTCTGAAACAACGGACGTGACTGCGATCTTATTTGACACGGGGGAATCTACAAGTTGTGGAAAGAATTTAATTTTGGTTCGGTTCGGTATAATGTAAAGCATTCTCTACATAAAACTCAAACCAAGTATGGATTTCCCCTGAAACGCTACATCGCACGTAAAAATTGTTTGAAATATACATGCAGGCCAAGTAGGCCTATATCTGATTAAGATCTGCAACTTTGGGATATGTTCGATACGTCGAATATTTAACTAAATAAAAGGAACAACAGTTACTTACTCTGGGTAGTGTGAACAGCTGTGCAACATTAAGAATCATTCATTTGTTTTTCCTTCTGTTGCTAGACGTACACAGTTGCCAACTTTATGATTTCGGCAACTTAAATTTTATGACAAGTCCATGAAGGATACAACGTTTGGACAGCGCTAGGATGATACACAAGTAACTGGGACAAAGGGCGAGCTAGGAGGGCGGTGATTCATGATAGAATTATTCATTCCAAACCCCAAATGGAAACCTCCGACTGCAGTATTTTAATAGTCTAATGCAAGGGTATCCAAACGACGGCCCGCGGGCCACACCCGACCCGCGAAAAATTGTGCAGAAATGTGATTTATTTGCACTTATCAAGGTCTTCAGAGCAAAGTTGATACTTCTGGAAAGCCAAGTGAAAAATTGTAACTTTGTTCATATGCTATACTGTGCAGAGTTGCATAAAAAGAGGGAAGCAGAATTTCCTTCCTCGTATGCAAATTTAGTCATTTCAGATTTGAAAGAACAATTTCGGAAGTGATTTGCTGATTTGGATGCCAGTGTTCAGGAAATTACATTGTTTCAAAATCCGTTTGACTGTGATGGGGCAGATGTCCCAAGTCAAATTCAAATGGAAATTATTGAACTTCAGGAAAAGTAACATATTAAAGACAAATACAAGGAAGGAAATTTGATCGAATTTTATAAATTTCTGAACTCTGAGCAATTTCCAAATTTAAAGAAATTAGCTTGTAAAGTTATCTCCATTTTTCGGGCGACATATCTGTGTGAACAAACTTTTTCCCAGATGAAGTACATCAAGTCAAAATACAGGGCAAATTTATCCGATGAACATTTAAAGGCGCTACTTGCGATTAGCGTCTCAAAATTTGAACATCAATTTAATCAGATTTTAAGAATGCAAAAAGAGTTCCATCATCCACATTAATTGTTTTATTATAATTTGTGATGAAAATATGAGCATTTGCTGCTACTGTCTGTTGTCATTAATAGATGATAATTTATTCTCACGTACTTTGTATTTAGTTTATGAAATTCTGTGCTTTCAATAAAACTCATATACCTAGAGTTATTAATTTCTCATTTTATCCGGCCCGTTGAAAGTGCTGAATTACCTAATGTGGCCCGCGTTTCGAAAAGTTTGGAGACCCCTGGTCTAATGCATGATCTAAACGCTGCAACAGGCGTATGAAATTACGTCTTGTGAGTCAACTGATAAAGTGTCAATATGGAGATGCAACAATTATTGTTAGCCTATTACGCTACAGCCTTCCAAGAAACAAACGTCTCAGGCAAATCATCAGCGTGAGAGATGCAATGGACCTGGCCGCAAGGATAAAGGCCTTTACGAGTAACAAAGAAAGAGAGAAGAGAAACAAAGCCTGCTGGCAGTTTCATTGTTTGCCACTTTACAGCTGCACATACGAAAACTGAATTCATGGCGATGCCTAGAAATAAATCTAGGACCAGGCAAATTTGTGTGAAGAAGGTAACTTCTTTCTCGGAGCTTCGTAATGTGCATTATAGCGAAAAATTTCTTCCATTTCATATTTCTGTTCCTCTACATCGGTGGTTCTCAACCTTTGTGAGACCGCGGCCCGGTAATTATTTTTTATAAGACGAGGGACCGGCGGTTGAGAAACACTGCTCCACATCACCATCGAACGCCAATGGCAGTGGCACAGACTTCGTTCGGCTAAGCTGTGCATGAAAATGAGACGAAACATGCATGCTGCAACTCGCTCAGTTCATTTCAGTTATGGATTTAACTCAATGTTAATTTATTACATATTACGTCATTTAACAAGGCTTCACCAACTACTGTCCGTTAACCCGGGAGAAAATTTCCGTCCTTGACTGCATAAGTGAACTCCTGTTTACAATGCATTATCACCATTTTGTACACGTGCAGGCACTACACTATTACGTAGAAGTTTTTACATTTCCCGCTCCAAATCAGTGGCCAATGAACTGCGCTTGGCTGCGTTAAATCCCTTCTTCTGTCTATTTATGGCTCTACAGCCTTTGTGGACCTTGGCCGCTTTTTCAGTTTCCTAATCTATACACAGTCGGTAGGACTCCTTGGACGGGGGATCAGTGCGTCGCAAGGCCGCTACCTACACACAGTACAATATAAACGCAGAATAAATGCACAGACATTCATGCTTTGAGTTGGATTCGAACCCACGATCCCAGTGTACGAACGGGCGAAGACGGTTCATGCCTTAGACCGCGCGGCCACCGTGATCGGTAGATCCCTTCTCCTACGTAACTATATATAAAAAACTAATCGTGACAGAAGGGCGAAGAGAGAGGGAGGAAACAGTCGTGGTCCATACGAAAATACTATTCCTTGTATTCTCACCAGGATTCGAGTCCGATAAATCCTAAATGTAATTAATCGATGTGCTAACCCGCTTCATTTCAAACTTGTCACGAGTTAAAAAAACCTCAGTGGTTTTATTCCACAAGCGAACTATACCGACCGAGCGACCGTCGCTTGTCGACGAAGCGCGTGGTCAGCGCAACGAGTTCTCACGATCGTCGATTTCGGTTTTCTTGACCGAGGCCGCTATTTCCTTGAAATAGCTCCTCAATTATCCTCACGAGGCTGAGTGGACCCCATTCCAGACTCACTACTTCTCAGAAAATCTGGTAGCGCCGGGAATCGAACCCAGACCTCTGGATCTGTAACCAGAAATTCTTACTGTCGCAATTATCTACAGAATTCCAGAGAAACAGGCTCTTTGACAGTTCTCAAATGCTTCCAGATACAGCGCTGTTCGCTCTGTTTACACAGCGGAGTGTGATACGAATTATCTACAAGCTTAACGTAATCTTGGGATTGGCTTCGTCTTCATGGGAGTTCCTTAGCATGGCAGCGGTTCCGTAACATTTCATTAACTACAACGAAGT